CATGGCTAGCTAATGCAACCTTTTAATTAAATGAATGTTATCCCGCCGTGAGCTCAAAGCGCGCTAGCGGCATCCCCTCTATTGCGCAATTCGTGTAAAAGAGGCAAATGTATAGTTGTAGCGGATCTAAGGTTTACGCATTATATATGGTCTATCGATGGATATATGGTGAAGTCTCTTTATAAAGACATGATATTCTCATCCATTATTCCTAGACGCCACGCCTTGTTCCATCATTCTTTCTTTAAATTGTACGTAATTTGACTAATCAATACTTATATAACATTTGCGGCATAGCCACTTTTATATTTTCGCCCAAAAAGGATAGAAGGAATAACAGAAGTTAAACCAAATTTGGCACACATAAGGTATACAGTGGAGACGCGTGTTAGTAAGTTATTTTGCTTGGGACATTCCGATTGTCCACATCGATTTATTGACTTTTTTGCAGTTTTGCTTTGGAATTTATGTTCGAAAAGGATGGACAGAATTTTGGACGGAATCATGGAATCAAACCTAGGCATATATAATGTAACGGGTAGGGGTTGCCTTAATAGCCCATTTTGTTTGGGACCCACAAATTATTGTTATCAACTTATTGGTTTGCAGTTTATACACAGAAAATTTTTTAGGTTCGAAAAGGACGGAATGATTCATGGATTCCTCTTTTGACATCATCTATAGGGTGGAGCGTGTGTTAGTAAGCCATTCTGTTCAGAACACACGGATTGCCCCCATCAATTCATTGATTTTTTGCAGTTTGCTCGATATCCATGGGTGGAGGAACGAACACCTCAATTAGGCACCGCCTCCGCGGCCTACTGGTCCTAACACGATGCATAACAGTACGACGAAAGGACCAGCAGCCCGCGGAGGCGAGGCCGAATTGAGGTGTTCGTTCCTCTACCCGATGCCCATTGCTTAGAATGTTGGATCTATGTCCCCAATTCTTCTTCCTGCGCAGATTTTGAATCGAAGTAATTCAAATTTTCTGCAAATTTTCACATTTCCGCAAAATAAAGTCAAAAGATTCAAGAGGAAGCGAAGCCGTCCGACCCTCGCGATCATGGAGGCCCCTACATGACGTGGCATATAAGATTTGTTATATTATGTTTGATTGCAGAAACCACGGTCCTCTTACTTTCTCCTTAGAACTAATACCAATTGATAGGGCAAAGCAAACTCTACAGTTTTTCTCTACATGCAACGATGAATTGTTTTGCTCAGTTATGTATAGAACATCACAGACACTAAGAATGTTGCCAGACATCTACGTTTACCGTATGCCTGCAATTTCTTTTTATAAGATTAGATTTCGAGGATATAACGGGGTTGCACTTTTTAGGCACAGTGACGTTTACAGACACAGACTGCATTGAAACCTCATTGCCTCGATCAAATAAACATCTGCTTGAGTTCATACGAAGGCTATTCTCATTTCTTGGAGCATTCTTAGCAGATCATTCTCAGAGTCTTTGCGGAGAATTGCAAAAGATGTTTCTAATTGAAATTTCGAATCTAATGACCGTTATTGCCACTTCCTCAAATGAGAAGATGTTTCGCTCATCTCCGGTTTTAGCCTGAGGGAGTCAATTAACTTTTTGTCGTTATAGAAAGCTGAAGCTAGACATTATTGTATCCAGACTCTTTTCTTGAGGTTTGCTTTACCTTTATGTTTGCAAAAAAGAAAGTGTCAGATTTTCTTTGGCTGTGATTCAAGCGTCTAGTAAATGGGAATTGGAAGGTGGCGGCTAATATGGCTTAAGAACATCCTGAAAAGCTTTTCCACCAAATAACGTCTTGAACCCTGATACCGGCGCAAAACAAAAATGTCAATCTTGGAAGAATGCGCTGCAGCTGAAAAGCAAATTTCTCCTTCTTTTTTCCTAATCAAAGCTTAAATGGAAGAATTACGTTCGTTTGCCTTTGCACCACGCTGTCCCTTCGTGTTTCCAATTATGATACCATCAAAGTTTTATATGAAAATTACTTTGATTTTCTAGGAGATTTGCTTAGCTACAATGGTGTACCGTAGCATTCTGCAAAAACTTGTCGATGTTGCGCCAACTGTTTTACCCATTATAATAGCATATTTCGAAGTGGTAGGATTATTTGGTAACATCAATCTTATTGTTGCCACAATGCGTAAGAAGAATTTGCAGACAAAGCATGGTGAGTCAAAGATTTTTTAAAATTCACATTAGGAAACCAAACTCTGGAGCAGAGGTTTTCACTACAATGGCGCCATAACTCTTCAGAATAAGTTACAGATATGCATAAGTTAAGACATGGTGATGACATGTGGAGGCATTTGCAATTTCAAACTTAGTAAAAAAGTCCCTTAATCATGCATGCAATCCGGGTATTAAGCAAACATTGTCCTGAAGTAAGCCAGTACAGTAGTCAGTAGAGTGCGTTTCATAAATTCAAAGCATTCTCAACTTGGTCTGCTTTCTTTTGCGAAAGGTGGAGCATTTCTGAAAGTAATGATGTGCTAGAATCTCGTACTGAATGTTGTCTTGCATAAACACGTCTATCTATCGTCTATCTATCTATCATCGTCTATCTATCTTCCCAGAGTCAGTCGAATGTAAGTCAGAATTGAAGATGGCACTTCGTAAGCTCTACGCGATATAAATAGAGAAAATCATTCGTTGACCTGCTTAAATGTACGAAATGCTGTCTCTGATGGTCATCGAAAAAGGGTAGTAATTGGCTTTCTAGCATTTATGAACAATGGGTTGCCCATATCTGCACGTATACTAGGCTGTTGCATAAGTTCTGTCCGATTTTTTTGCCTCATGTTTGAAGCAGCTGTTCTAAGAGAATTTCATCTCTAATTCGATACGGTTGGTATCATTGAAAAGTGCTTTTCTTGCGCTTTCTAAAGCATACCAGAATTCAATAAAATTCTTAGTGTACGGAGATCACAGGCCTAAAATCTCTAAGTGGCCGAGGTACGTTCTATCCCTAGAAATATGTCCTTGCGAGGATATCTCCACAATGCGCCCTTCAAGTCAGGTTCTTTCATTGGCTTCGGAATAAGGGTATGGAATGCTAGTATATGCAGAAGTTCGGTCCCATGAAGAATACGTCTTGCTAGTGAAATTTATCCTCGAACATAAATCTTTGGTATAGATGTTTTACAAGCAATAACTTTCTGCGAATAGAAGTAATCGACAAGCTCAAAGTTGGAGGTGCTAGGGCAAAGCAAGAGCTAACAGGGCTCATTCACCAATTCCTTTTCGGCGCTCACGTCAGTTGTAAAACGTTCGTAGTTCATAAATAGGCATGCACACATGTGCTGAAGCGAGGTCAAAAAGTGGCTAATTTTTTGTTCGGTCAAAAAAATCTCTCGGCAGCGCAAACCCTATGGGCTCTTTTATGTTGCATAATAATCTACGAAAATTTCTCTATCCATCCATTATTAGAAAAGATGCCTATCAATTTTCATAAGGGAGCGTTACCATGTCAAAAAAGACAGATTCGAAGAAAAACGCTGCGAAGTTTTTGCATTCTTGGTTCTTCCTTAACAAAGATTTGCGCAGATCTCAATATGCATTTTTTAGCCAAGGGACTGCTCAACACATAGAAACTAAGACCTTGGAAAAAAGTTGATTCTGAAAGAAGTTATGACATTTTAAACTCAAAAATTCAAATCGGACAGAACTTATGCAACAGCCTAGTAAAAGTAAGATCACTTTTCACAATACAACATGCTCCCTTGATCCTGAGGGATCTCTGTCAATGTTTCTTCTGATAAAAGAAACGTGCTTTTACTAAAGTCATGCTAGTAAGTCTTGTGTCCGCCAAACCATCCGAATTCGACTTTCTCATCAGATTACACCACCTAAAATATCAACTTATTCTCAGAACTGCAAAATTATATCCCGCCTAGCAGGGCGCACTCTGTCTTCCCCTGCTATTTTGAGACCTTTTCTTATGATTGAATGTCGATGTTCACACTTCAAAATTGTTACCTAAACGGTTATATTAAAACCACTTTTGATCACTTATGCTAAACGTCTTTCTTTCGCGGTGTGAGCTCTTTCGCGGACCTCCACTTTTGTTCACCCCATACTTTGTTGGTTTTGAAAAACCAGGGATGGCGCAACAAAACCATGCTGCACCGATATTTCCTACACTCATTCCTCGCATCGAAGACCGAGATGGCCTTACGTTAATGAAAGATAAGCCTCACGCTGCAATACGAAAAGATAGAATGAACATTACTTCGCTCATCTTGCATTCTTTCGTAGAAATATGCAACTACTCTTTGATATAAAGCGTGTGTATAGTTTTGAAAAAGTGGCGAGTGACCCAGGAGTTTGTTCTTATCATAGAAATCATATTGAAGCAATAAGGGAGATTTTGTCATGTTTCTATCTTTTAGGAGTGTTATTAGCCCTCACGACATTCTACCAATCGATGTGCCTATTTGGAGAAATCGGCAATATGGTGGCCGAAATTCATGGAGGATTTCTCCAACAAAATACGTGTTTTTATATTATGATTCCCTATATATGGTTTTGGTAAGTTTGTTTGTATCACAGAAGTCACAGTGAGGCAATGTGTAAGTCGCAATCATTGATAAACTCATATTCTGACTTCTTTTCAGTTGTATGCAGTCAACAATGTTTTTAGTTCTTTCTTTGGACACGCTTTTCTCAGTGATATTTCCGTTAAAGTAAGCTATCATCACTTAGAATTTATATTGTAACATTTTTCTTAGCATAAAGCAATCTCAAGAAATAATTGAGGTGCTGAATAAATTCACGAGTTTTCTAGGCATATGATCATGAGGTTGTGGGTGTATGTTTCCTTAGCTTCCATTGCACCTGTACTCTATGCTGCTCTCATAATACTCCTAAACTCACTGGAAATAATTTACGGGGAAAAGCATAACAATACGTATGTTCTCATTGCAAATTATTTCTTCTTAGAGACAATCGTGTATTTTATCCTTCTTGAGGGTTTTGATTTGCAATCCGATATTGGCGATGGATGAGCATGTTGCTTCTTTTTGGATAAACTGGAATGGTTTTTCGAACCTTGTTGTTATGGCAGTGCATTTTGGTGTATATGCGCTGGTCATGAAGAAAGGTACGTGCAGATGTATGTTTTAAGCCTCGCGAATAGAGTGAAAACCGCCCCTCTTTTACACCTCCTTCTTCTCCATGGAAAAAGAAACACTGTATCCAAATCACTGATTTATCTAATAGCCCGTTTATCCCATAATACTGGAAGAAATGAAGTTCCTTAGAGGAAAAAAAACAGATTCAGGTTATTGAAAATAGAAACAGGAGCTGGTTCTTATTATGCCATTTTTTTTGACACGCACGAAGAAGTTTTCAATTGCGAACATCTTCATTTCGAGACAGTTTTTTGGAATAGCTCATTGCTGGTCAGCTTTCTATTGTGGCCCTCCTCTCATTTGCCCCCTCCCCCCCGTGATTATAAAAAAGCTTTACATTCAAATTTAATATGATCCTACCACTAGGAATCGGTTTCTCTTTAGCTCCGATGTAGAATCACGTGTATACTAGGATTGAAGAAGCAGACAATCGTAGGTTCAGCGAGCAGCCAATCGCACATTTTTCAGTGGAGAATGTCCCATGATGACTTAAATGACAAAAAAAAAAGATATGAAAATAGTGAAAAATAGCAGAAGTGATCCATTTCAGAGAAGAAACAACTTGAACTGGGAAGAGTTGTGAACGAAACAAACGAAAAGCAGGTAAAGTGAAGTTTCTAGACTTCGCATGCTTTCGTTGTAATGAATGTGTGGCAATCCTCCTGCGCAGCGATTAGCGATGCAAGTAATTCCTCGAGATCTAAAAACTTTAAGCCCTTTTTGTAAAAATCGGTGTACTATATTTTTCGCTGGACCTCCTCCATGAACTTTCAGTCAACAAAGGGTGCCACAGTGGTCCACCCCCAGGTCAAGACTGGAATGGCCTGCTTTCTACCTGCAGTGATCTGCGCCGTATCGCAACCTCAGTGTATCTCGTCGCGTTAGGAACCCAAGTTCATATCTACTTATTTACTTCAAACTCTCGCCGGCAGTGTGGATTCTCGAAGCCTTCTGGACAACGGACGCGCCGCCTCAAGAATGTTCCGACTTACATCTGATTAAAACAACTTTACATAGCATGAAAAAAGGGCATCGATTCCTTTCGTGTTTATCGAACACAAATCTTAACGGCGCTCCTGCAATAAGAGGGGAATTCTAAAATTCAAGGCTAAGTGAGAGTGGATGCCCTTGTTACGAGATCGCGCAGGTGCGAAGTCTCTGCTTGGGAAAGTGGGGTACTTACCCATGCTTGCCTTTGCTGTTTTATGCCGTACTTCTGTTTCCTCTACCGTATTCGGGATAAAAGCGGGCAACACAACGCTGAGTGACTGTGTTTGCAAATTTTGTAGTGCTTGCCCTTTGAGCGCGGTTTGGTAGAAATTGCCCCTAAGCAAATATCTTTGTGCCATTAAGAAATTCATCCTACAATCATGTTTCTGCACCGATAAAGCTGACATTTTGCACTTCGAACACAATGTGCACTTCGAACACTTTACATTGTAATGGAGAATTAATTGAACGTTAGCTGGTTAAGCTTGTCTCCCTTCCTCCTCTTACTATTCTTCATCAGGCGATTGATAAAAACTTCATGCACATGTGCTTTCTCTACCTACACATTATATTAGGTTGTAAAGAAAGTTCTGCCAATCGACGCTGAGCTGAATTGTTTTGTTTATATCTTCACCGTGAGTGGCTGTCAATTAGCGATATTCGGTCATATGTACTTACAACCTTAGACTACTGTTTAGGTATGTCGTAGATGCTCTTTTCCAGAAAGCGCACTGGCTGCGTTTTGAAACAGGTGGAGAGTTCGATTTTTTGAAGCCTGAATTCAATGAGTTATTTCTTGCTTGCAAAAAGAACCAAATACCGGGGCAAGTAATGGTCGGATACTGCTTCACCTAGCTAATACACAACGGATTTTCAAATCAAGCTTCTGGAATTCTGCGCGTCCATGATCTGAAAAATGTGCCTTTTCGCAGACCTACGCGCGACGGATTTTTTTCCTTTTTTGGGCATTTCTTCCTAGTTGATCATTATTTTTCCGAGCTGAATAGCGTATTAGGTAGTTGAGGCCATTGCACACTAAGAACACATTTACTTCAAACCAGCCCCCTGCATTCGCATTCATTTTTGGTATTCAAGAGAAGAATTGGCAGAATTTTTTTTTGCAACCTAATATTTTGGACCGAATCGAATAAATATTCAAGTATTTGGATAGAGTATTCGAATAAAATTTACACGAAATTCGATTTATTCAAAAATTTTATATCTTGAATATATTCGATATTCGCTTATTCGAAATTTGTCAATTTCAATGTATTCGATTCGGTATTCGACATTTTTGATTTTCGAACATATTCAGACATATCGCTTGTTGTTCAAGTTGCCCACTACATGGAATCCTTCACTGTGCTAATTCGATTTGTCGTATATTCGACATAAGCGATGCCAAGTATTCGCTCAATCGAATTTTTCCCGAATATATTCGATCATTCGAAATCTTTTAATTTCGAAAAATTTCGATATTTTATTAATTGACATTACTATTTCGAACTTAATCGATATTCGGATATTCGATATTTTTTGCTTTTGAAATTCAATTATTTGATGTTTTTGATTCCCGAATATTCGATTATTCGTTATTCGAAAAATTCGAATATTTCAAAGTACGCATAGATTGGCTACGGTTATGGACAGGGATAGTCAAAGAAATCGTACAGAACTCCTTCCGAACTTCTTCTGTACACTTCGAAACGCTCACACCATGAGATGTGGAGTCGGACGTATGGGTTCTGTTACAAAATTCTCTTGTCAAGTATTGGTTGGTTATTGGTATTGGTATTCGTTGACGGAATAACGGATCATGTTGAAACTCTTGTGCGATACATAAGAAAATGAAGCGAGGGTTCTTGCTCAGATTCTTTGGGAAATCTGGAAATGATTTTCTCAAGACCCTGAGCAATCTTTAACCTGAGAATAAGGAGAGGGAGAGCAGAAGCATGATGACATAAGAACTGCCAATTGTTTTGTTTTACTTTATTGCATGCAGGATATGCATAGAATGCTACCTAAGTTGTTTGCTTTTGTGTGTTTTTAACTGGAAAAACCGTTTGCTTGAAAAAACTCTCCATTCAATTAGAGACATCACCAACTTCTTGAACAACAACACTCATCAAGTTCTCGTAGCAAGCAGCACCTGCGAATGTTCAAATCGCCTTCACTGGCTTCAATGAGTGCACATATTCGGAAAGCAGCGGAGAAGAAGAGGGTAATAATCAGTTCACATGAAAGGTTTCTGGAAACATAGCGTACACCATAAAAACAATAATTTATAGAATCAGATTGCAAATTTGCAATTACAACTTTCATGGGCAATGTGTCGAATAAACACAAAACGCAAAAATGCGATGTGCGAAATATGAATTATTCTTGGCGTCGAAGTTAACGTAGACCTAGTTACGTCAGCATATCTATATCTTACGAGGGAGAGTTCCCAAGTCAGCTCGCCCAACCCGGATGAGTCATATATCACCGTAACGGGCTTGGAACGCTGATTCCAAATCTGCTATCATTTTCTGCGGAACAAATCTCCGGGAGAAGTTATGAGCGTTTAAAAGTCTAAATTTGTCATGTTTTAAGGGGCTTAAAATTGGCGAAACCTGTACAATAACACATGAAAGTGATTTATTAGTTTTGTATTAAGTATTTTGATTACAAGGACGGAACACAGATAGTAAAATTCCGCGTTAGGTATTGTTTTACAGCTTTCAACTGATTTTAAGCCACTTCAAACGTGACAAATTTAGACATTTAAACGCTCATAACTTCTCTCGGAGAGTTGTTCCGCCGAAAAGGAAGCAGATTTGGAATCAGCGTTTCAAGCCCGTTGCGGTGATATATAACACATCCGGGTTGGCAGAGCTGACTTGGGAACCCTCCCTTGTTAGATCGACATTTTTTTCTACTAATCCAACATTTTTCACTTTACAAAGTTACTTTTATCAAAATCATTTTCTTCTGCAGATTAAGATTTTAGGCATTGATATCACTGATGTGGCTGGTTACAATCTTTGCATTCACTTGGTGTACTTGTATGTTATCGCAAGCGGTTGTTTCGTGGATGCCAAAGTCAGAACTGACCTTGTTCGTGGAAAGTTATGCTGTGAGTTTAGCAGAGGGCATTTAATGGAAAGAAGTTTAGAGGACTTTCAGCTAATTTATGTCGATTTCGTCATCACCTGTGCATTTACGCAAATCACCATTGATTATGATGTGTAGAAAACCCTACTTTGTTGACGGCTTAAAGGCAGTATCCGACCAAAAACTCAATTTTGAGAAAGTCCGCTTACCGGGGGCTATCCGCAACGCTGAACCCGAAAATCCACATTAGACGGGAAAACGGCGAAAACAAGTTTTTCAAAGCCGCACAATTTCAAATTTGACAGTCCTCACCAAGGCAGAGACGATAGTCGCTGCAGGACCCTACTAACTGTGGCGGCATGCGTACTCTGCCGCATAGCAGGAATTCGGACAGCTCGGAGGACTCCGCCCCAAGGCGTAAGTTTCCCCACTTTCCGGTCGTTTTTCTTGCTTTAGGTCGAGTGTTATGACGTCGCGCTTGCGCGATGTTGTGTCTGAGGAGGGCCACTTTCGCATGGCACCTGAGATCCCGAAACCCCCATCTCGCCCGGACACTGCCTTTAATGCCATCCTCGCCTATCCTTTTTAGATGTTTATCCGGAATTAATTTCTGGAGCTTTATTTGTTCTAGAGCGTATCAATTAAGCTTGAGAAGAATCGTAAACAACAAAAGTTTGTTTCTATGGGGAAAAAATACGGAGAATTCAGTGGGCGTGAGAGGTCCGAGCACTACCGAAGAGATGATTATTTTAAATTCAGTTTATCTTTGGGATGATGGCCTACTCCGCAAACTACTACGTTTACTTCGCAAGAAACCGATCCTACCGTGTCGTATTTCTAGAACAGTTAGGATGCCTGTTGCCTAGCAAGTAAGTATTTTAGTCAGAAGAATCTCTATCTTTGGAATATCCAAAGTTGTGAAATTTTTTGGCACTTCCTAGCATAATGACAAACTTGATCTGCGCGTCTGTATTGGCACAATGCCTTCTAGGCATTTTTTTGACAACATTAGGCTAGCGCTCCACATGCACGGAGGTCACACAAGCCGCTAAAAAAAGCTGAATCTGTATTAGTTGGCGGGAGCTGTCTATCAATGACTCAAATTGCTCTGCTCATTCCAAGCATCATCATGCATTTTTACAGCAGTCTATTAGAGTGCAAATGTAAACTTCGCCTTTGCAGATTCCGAAACGAAGCAATCTTGAGAGGAGTCCCTCAAAGTTTCCCGACCTTGCATGCAACTAGCCGAAAACAGTCGATGCCGGGTCCCAATTTTCAACCTGACAATGGAATGCCACGAACAACTAGCGCTGTTATACCAAGAGTACAAAATTCCGCCTTAGCCAGAAGGAAACTATCAGAGGAACCCAGACGAGAACGTCATCCTAGATTTTATTGAATCGCTAATACCACTGAGTGCAAAAAAAGATCTCCTCCTATAATCTTTCGACGGTTAGTGAGAATAACTTTATGTATTCTATTCCCTTACAATTCAGTACCATACTTTCCTTATTTGTATGTATAAATCTCAAAAATCGAATCTCGTCAATAATTTGCAGAAAGATCTATTCTTAACGAGTTTTCATGTAAAGCAATGGTATACAAGAAAGGTCGAGTTATCTCAATCAGTTCTCACATTCTTACTATTTTGAGTAAAGAGTCCTTTCTTCGAAAATATTTTAATTACCCAATCTTCAAATGTGTAGGCTACAAGGGATTTTTTTTGGAATTTTCAGCCCAAACACACCATTTCGCAACCAACCCTATGCCTTGCTGCGTATTGTCTAAAAGTACCGTGCAGCTTGAAGATTGCTTTGAGAAACAGTTGAACGGCCGAGCAGCTCGCTTGAAAATTTGAAAGAAGTGCGGGTTATACAACTAAAAATGGTGTATATAATACATTCTCGTTTCGAAATCTGTCTCATTTGCATCATAAATTAGTACTTTATATACGCGACAAATCGCAGCAAACATTAGATGAACAGTAAAAAAGAAATCTGACGACCGCCAAAAATTCACACGCTAAGTAAGTTTAAAAGAAACATATTCAGTGGTTTTCAGTAATGTTATAATTCTGAAACTACCAAGTTAGCGGTTTCCGGATCAGGTCGGCATCGTAGAGCTTGTTTCACACAGCTACTGCTATAGCACCTAATTTCACTCAGAAAGGCTGCAAGGGCAAAGATAAACGCCCACCTTCTATCTAGAAAAGCTGGTTGTATGTAAAGATATGTGAAGAAAAAGAAGTTCGAAAGGAAAAGAGAAACTGCATCGCATTGCATGAAAGAAAGAAGTTGATCATGAGCCAGCCTGAGAATGCTCCTATTTGATTGTGAACCCTTAGAGAAGGAGCTCTAAGCCGCGTTGAAATGGACTGCGACTTTGTGACGAGGGTGCCTAACGTGCCGTGCAAAGAACTTGACTAGTAATTGAAAAGCGTTAAACGGTCTGAAAGAAAAAACAGCCTCGGGGCAATGCAAATGCATCATCCTCAGCGGCATTTTACGCGGTTAGCTGCAAAAGTTTCGACGAAGATTTTTGAGCTGCGCTCAAATAAAAGTAAAAGTGAAAGTCCTACCTGGTTATCTTCAAGTTTTTTTAAATGCACAAGTTTGTTACGGTAGATGGTTTTTGTCCCCACGTTTCGGAAAGACAGAGAGAAACCACTACTTTAAAAAACGGTTGAAAACGTTGAAAAGAGACAGTAACGTATGTGTTTTTTGCTCTGGCGGCCTTTTAAGTTCGACACGCACTAGCACTCGCTTAAAGCAGCATTGCTGCCACATTTCATAAGTTTTGGAGGTAGGTTACAGCTGACCGGAGGTGAAGTAGGCGATTGAAGGACTGCTTAGAGGAAGTAGAGCTGGCTTCAACTTAAATTTACTATATAGAGCGAATTACCAATCGCTCTTCATTACTGTAGGATTACGGTAGAAACTTAAAGTGTATGGTGTCACTGTGAAAACAGCTGCCGTTCCAAAAATTTCCAAAAACTGTGAGAACTTGCGTAATAGGGTTTTCATGTACGCTAAATTCAATATTCAACTATGTACAAGTTTGCGAAGCTTTCCAAACGATGTAACCGCACTTTTAGGAGCCGATAAAGTGGCCGCTACTGCTTCCTCGCATAACTTTTTATTGAAGCACTAGCTGGCTTACCCGGCTCCGCCGTATCCGGACCAAGCTTGGCACACATACACTTCGGGCCCCGGCGGGTGTCACAGTCCACTTTTCGTTATCGATCGATGTCGATTTTGCCGATTTTTATCGATTTTTTTGCAGAGTTCACCTACAGGGCTAGGAGTTGGCACAGGGGGGGGGGAAGTGAGCATGGGGATTCCGAATACAATATTAGTTTTCAGAATTATCGATTACTTTTATTGATTTTATCGATTTTTTGTAAATTTTGACATGCGAGGCTGGTATTTTGCACAGGGGGGTAATCGAGCATGCTGATTACGAACACAATATTAGTTTTCAGGATCGTCCATTACTTTTATCGATTTTATCGATTTTTTTGTAAAGTTTGACCTGCGGGGCTGGGAGTTTGCACATGGGGTAATCGAGCATGCAGATTACGAATACAATATTAGTTTTCAAGATCGTCCATTACTTTTATCGGTTTTATCGATTTTTTGAAAATTTGAGCTAGGGGGCTGGAATTTGGCACAGGGGTGTAATCGAGCATGCTGATCACCCCCCTTGGGGATGATCAGCATGCTCGATTACCCCATGTGCAAACTCCCAGCCCCGCAGGTCAAACTTTGCAAAAAAATCGATAAAATCGATAAAAGTAATCGATAATCCTGAAAACCAATATTGTATTCGGAATCCCCATGCTCGATTACCCCCCTGTGCCAACTCCTAGCCCCGTAGCTCAAACTTTGCAAAAAATCGATAAAATCGATAAAAGTAATCGATAATCCTGAAAACCAATATTGTATTCGGAATCCCCATGCTCGATTACCCCCCTGTGCCAACTCCCAGCCCCGTAGGTGAACTCAGCAAAAAAATCGATAAAAATCGATAAAATCGATATCGATCGACGACGAAAGGTAGCCTATGACACCCGCCGGGGCCCGTAGTGTATGTGTGCCAAGTTTGGTCCGGATCGGTTCAGAAATGGAATTTTCTATTCGGAACATGCGTACACACAGACAGACAGACATACAGACATACAGACAGACAGACAAACAGACATTCAGCTTTATATATAAGATTATAAGTTGCGAACTTTACAATTGAAATCAGCAGCTCTAACTAGCTCAGTGTGAGAGTTTTCAGGTTGTCTTGTTGCCTTTCTGGGGCGAAAAATGGCTTTTCATGGCTCAAACCCTCTTCGAAGTTCCTACCGTAATCGTATAGTAATGGAAAGCAGTCGGTATTCTGCCCTATACCCTTAAACTAAGTTGAAGCCAGTTCACAAAATGACACTTCTCGAAAGAATTCTTACAAGAGGGTTATTAACAATCCAGTAAGTACGTTTTTTTGGAACACCTTGTATGACGGCGTTGTACCACACGAATTCCATTATCTGCTCTTACGACAAACCGGGGACTGCGTCAGATCTGGAGTTGTCTTCAAAGTAGTTAGACTTATGCTAAGGATTTGAGCGAGAGCGGCCGACCAAGGCATGTGAAAATTGGACACATAACTGGTGAATCGAAACTCGAAAGGCGCAAAGAGAATAGCCTGTTTTCGCCTTGAACAGAGTAAATGGATCATGGTGGTAACGTTGGAAGTCACATTCATTTATCTCGTGAAATAAGGCCTTAGCCAAACCGCATGCGATTTCCGTCGCCGTGCGAACTGGCAATTTACCAGGCCCAGTGGTAAACCCTTGGAATTGGTGATGTAAAGAAAACAAAGTCATGATATGTCTGATTGAAGTACATGCTGCTCACGACCACGTCTTAGTCGCCGCAAAACTTGAAGCAAACGCGATCAAGCCCTTTGATGGTTGTCGACGTCGCGCACTGACTCTGCGCTATTGATATGTCTTCGATGTCAAAATAAAGTTGAAGCTAGGGAAGCGAAGATGCGACCGATAGAACGGTCGCTTGCGACATCTTTTGAGCAATACAGTAAGCATGCTTTGATGTGTATTAGACTGTGTAAGATGTAAGAGTATGCACTGCTTTATTACTATTACGTCCACTATCAAGGCGCATACTGGCAGTACTACGAACGGAGAGAATAGCGCAGTGAGTGTTGGAGGCTGAGTTAACGGTGGCGGGCACGAGTACCGTGTAAGACACCTTTTGCAAGTTGCTGTTTAATTAGATTTTATGTAAGTGAATTTTGTGTAATTTTGTGTAATTTTTAATTCTTTTGTGATAGGCGAAAATGTCAATTCAAAGCACAAAATATTGAGAGTACACAAGAGAGTGGGATATTATAAAACAGTCACTTTTTGGTTGGTGCAAACATGAGCTTTTCCGTTAGTCATAGTGCGAAATGGTTCCCTCTCTCCAATCAAAGGGAAAACGCTGAGCGTACAGCTAATAAACAGCAATATGAGAGGTACTAGGGTGGAAGAAATAAGGAAACTAAGACACGCAGAAAAAAGTTGGTGCGCAGTGAGTTGGAAAGTGAGAGAAAAGAAAAAATAGTTGAAAAATTATAAGATAGAATGAGTAGAATTATGATGTATGTAATCAAAATAAGCTCACCGTTTCTAAATTACAAAGATTTTAGCAGCAAAAATTCTCAGAAAACAGAAAAAGTCGCACAGGGGTTGACATTTGTGCGCTTATCAGCTGTTGATGTCGATTTCATTTGCCGCGCTGAATCTAGTGCTGTGTGTCTACGGTTATTGCACACAGGACGAACTCGGCGTACTCGATTGCTAGTCGGTTGCGCCTTCCTGCGTCTCCAGGGTTGGCGCACTTTTCTTTGGCCCGTAGTAAACCCCCCATCAGTGCAACTCACTGTGCGGGCCTACGTCGAACGTAGGACGCCTCATAGCATCCAGTGACCTATCGATCTGGATGCGGACCGCTTTCTAATCATGATAATCATGTGTGTGATCTCGAAAAAGGAACCACTGGAGCCCGTTTGCTTGAACAAGTAAGCGACTGGAATTGAACCCGCGCCGCCATGGTTTAACAACGGCTAGCGCCACATTTTTTCTGTATCCCCTGGCGTCTTTGATAGCGACCACTATCGCAAAATTGATGATGACACCTATCAAGGATTTCGCCCAGCACATGCATGGATAAAACAAAAACTAAGGTCACAAGGTCACAGAGTAGGAGCCCCATAATGGAACCTATGGGCCAAAGTTCGGTCTTTCTCTGCCACTTCTAACCCCGAAATTTCAAAGCGAAAGCAGCGCTCATCTCCTGGCCTCTCCGAACCCCCCCCCCCTCCTGATGGACGAGTGACTTCCACGGTCAGAGCGCGCAGCCGCAATGCTATAAGCATGAGGTCCCGGAACGACTCTGCGTCTTCGCCATGACGGGCTTCGCGTCACTCGTCCGTGGGATGGGCCGGGTCGGAGAGGAGAGGAGATGAGCGCTGCTTTCTCTTTGAAATT